GATCACAAATGCCACCATTAACAACACTATTACTACCGTTCAAAGTTGTCATCGAGAAACCCACAACTAATTATGCAACCCACAACCCACAACTAATTTAATTTGCGAATTCGCACTCATACTTATATGCTTACTCATTATTATTTAAATTTTTGTTTGGAAAGTACAAACCTATGCATAAAAATATATATCAAACTAGAATGATTTTTGTAATCTATAATTGCTATTTTAGGACCTTAAAATCAGTATATATTTAAAAAATTAAAGATTTTTACCACAGTTGTGCATGAAATTTATTTTTTTTATTAATTTTTATGGATGAATGTGTGACTAGATGAATATAATGACACTCTCAAGGCGCTTCCCTCTCAAATATTTTTGAATTTTGTCACTTTTGCATTCCCACTCTATGTAATCTAGATTGAAACTGCCCCAAAAGTAATCACCATGGGAACAATAATTCGACAGCACCACCAAAAAATTTTAAAAAAAATTACTGTCCACTGGGTATTGTTCATCAGCGACACTGTTCCTGTGTAATCACTATTCATTGATGTCCAAACACGAGAAACTAGAATCGATGTGCTGATAACAAGTTGAGAAGTAAAAACTACAATAATATGCAAGAAGAAAGAGAGAAGAAGATAAAAAGAAAGGAAACGAATGAGAGAAAATGAGAATAATCTATGTGAGCAATGTTACCCTACGCTCTCTTATTTATAATAAACTGACATTATGAGTAATTACATTATTACCCTAAACTTCTAATAATATAAAAAAAGAACTCTAACAGTTCCGTTTAACTTCACAAAACTAATTTGCCTAACCTGATCATTCATGGACTAGTCCAATTGAACCAGATTGCCAACTAACGTATTGTTCAATCCACAACCAACTAGGCCATAAAAAAATACAGGAGAACCAACAAAAAAATTCCCAAACAACCATAATCAAACCACGAATCTGTCTCAAACAGCCCAACACATGTCGATATTTAAGCCACAACAACACAATAAATCACACAACCAGAAGGTCCAGAACCAAAAAAAAAAACGCAGAGGCCACGAAACAATTAAAACACGCAGAAAAACCACTGTTCAGGCACAGTTTGCGCACTGTTCAGGCAAGAAACAGTGTTGTCAGCATGGGTTTTCTCCCAAAAACATCTCCAAAGCAGACTGGGCAACCCTGAACTCCAACGAACCACAACCAGTAGGCAAAGAAAGGCCAGAATGACAAAGTCTTGTAACCTGGTACGCTGTTCCAGTGAAAAGAGCAGTGGCTGGCAACCAAAATCCATGAACTTGGTTTCAAAAACCACTAAGAGGGGTTGGGCTTCTCACGAAACTCCTCTTGTAACCTAGTAGAACCCCTCAGGCATGAATCCAGGAAGCAAACTTCAACAAATCTCCTAAAATCAATAGATCTAAAATTTTGACTCTATTTTGTCGAAAATCATTTAAAAATAGGCAACTCTCTTCACATGGTCTCAAAAAATTCAACAAAAATCACTATAATTACCGGCACCAAAAGCTGAGTCAAATGGTGGTTCCCCGTGCCGGACTAGGCTGACATCAGCCATTGACGACGATGTCAGCGATGCGAAAACCACCACACAAAAAACTTAGCGAATGGCAATCTGTTGCTTTTTTTCCCAATGATATATTATCTTGAATCGTTGCTCTGATATCAAGTTGAAATAGTAAAAATAATAGTATGGTTAGAAAGAAATAGAAAGAGGAAGAGGTAAAGAGGATAGGTAAAGGAGAGAGAGATAATTAGTTGTGTAGGTTAGGTTGCCTTACACTTTCTCATTTATAACTAAATAATATTAAGGTAATTACAATATTATCCTACACTCTCGCCCTCAAAAGATTACCGAATTTCACGGTTTCATCAATAACTGGGTCACCTTTGGATCTGTACCTTAGTAATTGGACATAACTTTTATTTCTATCATATCTATCTACATTTTAAATTTCTTGAAAATATGTCTCTAACTATATATGCAGAGAGCCAGAGACAAACATATATAGTTGAAGCATTGTCTCTTTTCATGGAATCGATAAAAAGTGATATCCAAACAACTTCCTAAAGCGCAGATTTCATATGTACAGGTTTGATTCCATGGATTTAGAATCCACATCCCAAATCCAAGTAATCATCCAAGCACGCCTTTAATTGGATTTAGTCATGAATTTGCTACTTTTAAGATGGAGACAAGGATCAAAATATCATTTCGAAACGGTCGAAACATTCGAAACGTTTTCGTTTCCGAGGAGACTGAGACGAATCAGTAGTGGAGTCAAAATTCTAATACTTAGGTGTTCCACAATGTTTCGAAATATTTTTTTATATTTCAATGTATTTACACAATTATTTCAGAATGTTTCAAGGTATTTCAAAATATTTTGGTATATTTCGATCAATATTTTGAAAAAATAATTCTTAAATTTTTATTTTTTTTTAAATTATGTTTTCGAAACGGGTCAAAACGTTTTCAAGAAATGTTTAAATGTTTCCCTTTTCTAGGCGACAGAAACAAGGCACCGAAAGGAAATTTTGATCCTTTGATGAAGAATAATGAATTGAGAACAAGTCAAATAGAAATTTAGACAAACAAGCAAGGAATACATCATAGATACCAAGAGACCACACAGTCATAGAAATAAATACAAATATGTTCCTACCATGTCAAAATATACCTAACAAAACCCAAAAGTAATGGAATAAATAGTAAATTTTTACATATGGCCTGTTATTAACCCATTTGTTTTATTCTTAATTGAAAACTGACTTAGCATCTAAACTAGCATATTAGATCCTAACGCTAAGCGATCTAAAAGATCCAAAACTCCACTAAACTAAATTTTGGAGCAAGTGTACCAGGTATTCATTACACATCCATGTACCACAAAAATTGATAAAAGGGTGTCAAGTTTTTACAAAAATCAAACATGACGGAGACCTAAAAATGACGCAATTCTAAAAATGACATGAATAATTAAGTCAAATGGGTCGAATTATTTTCAAACATGGACATCCCGATTTTGACATAATAACCCTTCCAATCGATTTGTTTTTATTTATAGATATAACTAAATTGTATTTTATAAGATTTTATAAGGGTTTGGATTAAGTAAATTTCTTAATTATGTTGGACCTATATCTGTTGGTTTTGGTTGAAAAAAAAAAAAGAGTCCACGTTCTTCATTTGTCGGTTTGCAAATTACACAAAAATGACCCAAAAAAAACAAAAAGATAACACAATGCCAAAATAACATGACACTATAAAACAAACTTGAAATAACATGATCCAAACATAACATAACACATTACATTGGTATTCGACATCTATATATATATATATATATGACAGACATATATATATATATATATATGAAAGCTTTGGACCAACTTTAATATTTCTAGGGGATTGAGGTTGCTTCTTCTCCCAAAAGTTATTTTATTTTTCAATCCAAGTATGCATTGGATATAATTCAGCGAGCTCATTTATCAAATAATCGGACAGCTGATACACCCTTAGAGCTCAATGTTCAGTATTCTTCCTGTGATGGTCCTCGTCTGCCTGATCCTACCCTCTACCGTACGATTATTGGGAGTCTAGTATGTCTTTTGGTTACTTACACAGATATCTCTTATGCAGTTCCTATTGTAAGTCAGTTTGTTGCTTCATATATCACTATTCACCAAGCTGATGTTTTCCTCATTCTTCGGTATCTTCGTAATATGCTATATCAGAGTTTACTATTTTTTCACTCCTCCTTTATTAAACCCAGGGGTTACTCAGATGCTGACTAGGCTGGTGACTAGGTTGGTGACTCTATGGATCGCAAGTCCATCACTGGTTTCTCTCTTTTTCTTGGAGATTCTCTTATTTCTTAAAAAAGCAAAAAACAAATTGTTATTGCTTGTTCTTCTGCTGAAGCTGAGTACTGTGCTATGGCACCTACCACAGCTAAGATAAATGGTTACAATAGTTACTTGCTGATCTTGGCATTTCTCTATCTTCTCCTACTCCTATGTACTGCGACAACAAAAGTGCTATAACTCGATCTTCCATAAGTGCATAAAGTACATTGAGATTAATTGTCACTTTGTGTGCCACCACATTCAGCTTAGCACTATTACTCTCCCCTCTCTTCCTTCCACAATGTAGATAGCGAATTTTTTTACAAAATCTCACACCATTGCACGCTTTCAATTTTTCTTGACCAACTCTTGATGTTTTCCACCACATTATGAGTTTAAGAGGGTGTTAGAGTATTAATATTAAGAGCAATTGGGCATTTACTTTATTCTTTGTTGTCCTACTATATAAAGGTCTACATTGTGCATTTTAGATTAAGTTGTATTACAGACTTGTCTAACAATAATAATATTTTCTCTTTCTCCTTTCACTCTTTTTCATTTGACCAAAGTTTTGAAAATGGTACACAATCTTGCCCCCACACGTGTGGACAGACTACTTTTGTGACTCTATCCCAATATGTCTAGTTTACAATGGCTGAGCCAAGGCCGATCTTCTAAAGAGGTGAATTCTGGGTATAAAAAATGGGAAATGCTTATGGAACTATAAGAAGCTATTAATACTTTCCTAATAATGTGACTTGTTAGTTTGTTGCCTTTCTTGTGTTTAGTGGTGCTTGTCCATTATTTTCCCTCCAAATGATTGGTCGTGGGTTAATGAACTTATTGCCATTATTGCATTTAGTAGTAATTGCCTCATTAATTTTCCAATTGAGCTTCTCTTCAACCTAACCCACCTGGCTTCTTGTCAATCAATTGTCCTTACTGTGCTCTTGCTGATTCCTCACATATCTTCCTTCTATTTATCTGCCTTCTCTCTCTCTCTCTCTCTCTCTCTCTCTCAGTTTAAGTCTCCAAGTGTACTATGAAGGATGTTCATTGAACTGTAAAAAAACAAGCTACACATGAGGAACCACACAATAGAGTACAATCGGTTCAATGGCATTTAGCGGAATCAAAATACTCATTCACCTGAAACGCTTTTCTGCACCGCAAGTGATGATCGCATAAGGATCTGACGTGCCATTAAGATTAGCACCAATAAGATTCTTAGCTGCCAACAGTTCCACCTGAAACACAAATCAAATGCTATAACTTGTCCTAAAATGAATAGCAAAAAATGGCTAAATGATATTTTCAAATGCACCATAAACCTTTTATGTACCACTAGCACACCTTTAAACCATTACCAAAATCAAATAAGCAGCACTACAATGCCAAGGAGATAGTATGCCTCTCACAGAATTCGAAATACCTTGATTATAAATGCAGAATTGGTCTGAGAGTCTCCTTTCAGTTGGCCTATCTACAAAATAAGTTCAGAACTGCAAGTCAAGCAAGTGGGAAATTACAACAGGAAACTAATAAAAAGTGAAACTCTATTCTGATGCAAAAGTAATACCAATCTTCATGAGTATAGACACAACATTCTTTTCAGGATGTAAATATGCATAACCAGGTAAACAGAATAACCTCATCTGAATAAAATCATCAAGTAGTAAAAATTCAAAATCATAGAACAACACGTCTGCAAGCACATTTGTGGCATATTGTCGGCCACCAATTCTACTCCCTGAAATGCTATTGGCAATGGGGTAGCTTATGTATAGATGTCGAGTGGAACATCTATGTGTCGCGTGTTAAATGTTAATGTAATGTAACTGAATAATATCTAACGTAATGTTAACGTTATGAATTGATATATGCATATCAAAAAAAGTAAATTTTAGGGTGTAATTAGATATCAAAATGAATCCCAATGGCCAAATTGCACTTGATGTGGCATTTTTGCCCTGTACAGTACTAAGATTTAGTTGGGGAAAGAAAAGAAATTTTTACAAAAATCATTTTCTGTTGTTTAGGTTCTAGGAAAGATAAGAAGGAAAATGAAAATATAAAAGAACATAACAAACTAAAAAAGTACAATTTTGTGATTAAACGAGTCACAGAATTCACCAAATCAGTTAATTTCCCGGTTCAAAAATTTCAACATCAAACACCAGTAAGAATCAAGAAAGCGGCGACTTTATCACCAACGGCATGGCTCAAAATTCAAAATTCGACCTGCACAACACCAATCAAGACGAAAGAGAGCGGTAAAATAACTGAAATGACCTTGTACTTATCAATTATATCCCCGGTCACGGGATCCTCCGAATGATCATTCACGGGCCGGTCAACTACGACGTCGTATGTGAAGAACCAGTAGGCGGCGATGACGAAGAGTGAGGCGGCGATTGTGACTTGGACCTCCCACCATGACGGAACCAGAAATTCCAGCGCCGTGTCGATGATCATGTATCCGACTTGTGTGTCTGTCTGTCTGTCTGTGAATTGTACGAACTGTACACAATGTAACTGTGGAAGATCAGCAATGATGATCACAGAATTCTTTCTAGGGCCTTAGCAGGAATAAAATTGCAGCAAAGAGGAATGTAGAGGTACCATTTGACGAGGCATAGAGAGGAATTGTGTGTGTGTGTGTGTGTGTGTGTGTGNTAACTGGAATAAAATTGCAGCAAAGAGGAATGTAGAGGTACCATTTGACGAGGCATAGAGAGGAATTGTGTGTGTGTGTGTGTGTGAGTGTGAGAGAGAGAGGGAGAGTCAAAGGCGGAGGGGTGGAGGGAGAATGAGGGCGTTGAAGGAGACGTTGACAACGTGAAATTGATTATTGAGTATTTAATTACTAAAGTAGCCTTTCAATTGATAGTGTTATATCGCTGATGCAGTGCGTGGGTTGGGTGACATAAAGACAATGTGAGGCGCGTTTGTGGGGAAGAAATTTTTTTTTTTTGGCCGACGTGGGGGAGAAATTCAAAAGGCGACTTCTTGTTCATATTTTCTAACGCCTGGAAGATTTTAGGCATCAAACAGTAGAAGGAAGGAATTCAAAGGAATCTAACTAAGTATTTCAAAGCCGTCCTGCAATTTTGTTAATAGGGGAATAGTTCATTAATTGTATTTGATGGACTAAGCCCAAGGGCCCAACTCATGATGTGAGCTCAGTTTAAATTAAGAGTCCAACTCTAAAAAAATCCAACAAAGTCCAGTTTAAAGCGGTCTACACCCGATTAAACTCATTAGGTTCAAAGAGCTACGTCAGTAGGAGAGCATACAGAGTCATCTAAGAGCCTTCACGCTGCCTTGGAAAGAGTCAACACCCACATCATCCTTTGACCGAATCTTATGGAGAGCACCATAACTGTCCCGCCCGTAGAAAAGAGATTGTCACTTCCACTAGAATAGTCACTTGGTTACTAACAACTCGCCCCAATCTGTTATGGGGCGATTATAAATTGTAAGCCCCGTCAACACTTGAGGGGCATCACACTCAATCGAGCGCAAACTCTCCTCTCCCTCTCATAGCTTGTAACTATCTGATTTCTCTACACTCTTGAAGTAATAAAATATCCGGCAACCCTAACAATTCAAAGTGGACGTAAGTCACGTTGACCGAACCACTATAAATCCTTATATTCTCCATCTCTTACTTATTTACTGTATTTATTACTAATTACTTAACAGGTGGTGTGCAAACCCAATTTGTGCATCATCAGTTTGGTGCCGTCTGTGAAAAAGACAAAATTCTCACTTCTAAACACTTTTTATGTTGAACCTATGGCAATTACCACCAGATCAATGAATCAGTATGAAGATAATCTATCACGAGAGGAGGAGATTGCTCTTCCACCAACTAATCTCATCCCAAATACGCAGCAGATACGAGAGACCATGCAGCAGTTTGTGGACCAAAACCAGCAGATCTTGCAACTCACGCTCGCCAGACAAGGAGAAACACAACCTCTTGGATCTCAAGTCAGAGGAGCTCCACGCCTTGAGTGTCAATGAGTTCCCCACTTAGGCACTCCTCATCTGGGTGCCCCACATAGGGGAGCTCCCCATGAGAGACCTCCACCTCCTCATCTACCTCCCCCTTCTCATGGTGGAGACCCTCTTTTTCTAAGAGGATGAGGGTAAAAACCAAAATGTGGAGCATGAGAGCCATTTCTATGACAATTCAAAAGAAGATCCCAATCACTAGGATGAAAAAAAAAGGAGATACAAAATTAACTGGTTGATGTCTTCAACGTCATAAAGGCACAAGGACCTGAGACTGTGGATTACCTCATTAGGCGAACTGACCTGCCTTTCGGACCAAATGTGGCGAACTACCCCCTTCCTCAGAAATTCAAAATGTCATTTGTCGAGACCTTTGATGGAACGAAAGATCCACTGGACCACCTAAAAACTTACAAGACCTTAATGCAGCTATACAATGTCCTCGACGAAAATCATATGTAGGGCATTCCCAACTACTCTGAAGAGATCAGCCCAACGATGGTTTGCTAAGTTCTCCCCAGCTATCATTGGCTCCTTTACTGAGCTAAGCAGGTCCTTCATGTCACACTTCATTGGAGGGCGTCGTCATCAAAAATCTGCTACCCACCTGCTTAGCATAAAGGGAGGACCGAGATGAGAGCCTAAGGAGCTATCTCACTCATTTTAACGAGGAGGTCCTCCAAGTTGAGGAGCCCGATGACAAGGTCACCATAACCGCCTTCCCGGAGGCCTCCGGTCATCAAGCTTTCTCTTCTCAGTGATGAAGCGTCCATCGAAGAGCATGTCGGAGTTACTAGTTAAGGCCCAGAAGTATATGAATGCTGATGACATCACAAGAGCCAAACGAGGTGACTTCTCCTAAGCAGGTGAGAAGAGAAAGTAAAGAGATAGGGACGACAAGAAAGAGAATGGCAACAAATGCAGTAGGACAGAAAGGGTACTTGCCAAAGACCGACTTGGTCCTGCTTCTCAAAGAGATCGACAAGCCTTCACCCCCTTCAACGCCGCTGTCGGGTACATCCTATTCCAGATCCAGGATAACCCCACAATAAAGTGGCCTAGGAGGATGAAGTCTCCTCCAAACTGCAGGAATCTGAACAAATACTGTCGTTTCCATCGTGACCATGTCCATGACACCGACGACTGCTATGACCTTAAAAGATAAATTGAGGAACTCATTCAACGTGATCACCTATGCCAGTATGTTGCTAGTAGGGGATAGGTGCCACCACCGCCTCATAATCAAGAAGATTAACAACCTATCAAGGAAATTCACACTATTTTTAGAGGGCTTCCAGGAGGAGGAGAATCTCTCTCCACCAGAAAGGCTAGGCACCTCGACGATTTGCGCCCATCAATGGCCCCTAAGCATGGCAACAGAGAGATCATATCCTTCTTAGATAAGGACTTAGAAGGAATCCAGCACCCCCATGATGACCCTCTGGTGCTCACCATGATCGTCGCCAACTTCCAGGTGCGAAGGATTCTCTTGGATAGCGGCAAGTCTGTGGATATCTTGTTCGTAGAGGCTTATAACAAACTCAACTTGGACAAAAAGAGATTGCATCCTATCAAGTCACCCCTCATTGGGTTCTCAAGGGAGAAGGTGTATTCCCCCTAGGGTCTATCACCTTACCTGTCACTGCTGGAGTGGCACCCTAGAGCTCCACCTACCATCTCATCCTCTGTTTTTCAACCCCGAATGGAGTTGAAGAGGTCGAAGGAGACCAAGTAGCTGCAAGAGAATGTTGCGTCTCCTCCATGAAGACCAAAAAACTATAAGAGGCCCTACAAGTGGAGGTCCTCGACCCAAGGGATGGTGCCACCATAGAAATAGAAGAATCAGTCAAGGAGCTCACCCCAATGGTCATAGATGAGGAGCACCCAGATAGAAGAGTGTATATTGGCTCTTCCCTTTCGGAAGATTTAGTCCGCCAGCTTATAGATTTTTTGAAGAGGAACATGGATGTTTTTGCATGGTCGCATGTGATTAGTGCTTAAAGTTAGCATTTTACTATGTCTTTTTGGGACTAATTGTGCTTTGATGGAGTTTAAGTAATGACATTTTACGTCCTAAAGTGAATAAGAGCTTAAGGACAATAAATATCACACTTGGATGTAACACCTGTGGATTAAAGGACAAAATTGAAAAAGTTTGGCACAAAGCAAGAACGTTCGAACGTGGATCAACGTTCGAACGTTCCCCGAAAGTGATTGAGGATCAAGCTATTGAGACATGGTGTGCTGCAGTCAAAAAGGGAAAATGCTGACGTACTTGAGTACCACGTTCGAACGCCCAGTCAAGTTTGAACGTGCTTTGGAAACTTGAGAAAACTAGACTACTGAGACCTGTTGGAGTGTTGCAGCAAAGAAAGAAGAACCATAGAAGTACTTGAGTACCACATTTGAATGCCCAGTCATGTTCGAACGTGCTCTGGAAACCTAAGAAGACTAGACTACTGAGACCTGTTGGAGTGTTGTAGTAAAGAAAGAAGAACCATAGAAGTACTTGAGTACAACGTTCGAACGCTACTCCACGTTTGAACGTTGTCTTGAGTTACTGAGGACCAAGTTGCTGAGTGCAGGGTCAAAGTTGTTCAAGATGTATGGAAGTAACCATCACAGAGACCATAGGCCACTTGAGTAGGGGGTTCAAACCCCATCTGACGTTCGAACGCCCTTAAAGCAAAAATAGACACAATGTTCGAATGACATATCACGTTCGAACGTTCCACTGACTGGCTGCAAAGTTGTTGGTTTTTCACTTGGACTTGGGCGGCAAACACTATTCCTTCACCCCCTCCTCTTCCTTGCCCATAAATACCCCTATTATGGGAGCTTCATGGACAAGCCTTTTCTCTTGTAGAGTAAAGAGTTAGTTTTTGTACATTTCTTGTTTATGTTTTGCATTTATGTCAACCATGATGAAGNTGTTGCCGGGGAACCATAAAATGTGTTTATGGTAAAAGGTAAAAAGACCTCACTTTTTGTATAGATAATTGCTTTACTGTGTATAAATTTGTTTTAATTTTATGTCTGAGGACACTCTTCACTATCAAAATTTTCTAGTAGAATCTTCTGGGTCTGTGAATCAACCGGAACCATTTCACCTAGATTAGTAACAGACTCTTGTGAAAGTAAAATGACAAATGATGAGGGACGAGAAGAAATTCCTGTGAGAGAGGGTGAAGTGCCTAACATTCGAACTCTGCAGGATTACTTAAATCCCACAAGAAATAGTGTCCCCTCTTGTTTTATCTTTCCTGAAGATGCACCCCTCTTTACTGTAAAGATGGGGATAGTTCAACTACTCCCTCAATTCCGTGGACTCAAAGCAGATAACTCATATCTGCACATAAAAGAATTTGAGGAAGTATGTGAAATGTTTCAAGACAATTCTGAGCTAGCCAAAATGAAACTTTTTTCATTCTCTCTAAANGTGAAGATTGGCTCTTTGCTTATTGTACTTTGCTTTGTAAGTTCTCTACTTTGAGGAATGAGTATCACTCACTTTTCTAGCTTTACTCAAGCCATGAAGAGTAAGTAGTTCCTCATTCACTCTTTAATAAGAGGTGATGAACATGTATTGATTATCTGAAATTTATATTTGTGCAATCCTGTTATGCTTTAATGCTTTATATTTCACTT